GCAGCTCCCTGGAGGCACTGATTTTAAAGCGCCAGGTTAGTTGCTGTATATGACGGCGTGTTCCTATTCAGTGTCGTGGCCAGGCCCAAAGTGGCGCAGGGAAGTGAGCCTACCTGCAGAACCGTAGCAGTGGGTGGAGGTGGGGCAGGGAAATGAGCCCTACCTGCAGAAGCATAGCAGTGGGTGGAGGTGGGGCAGGGAAGTGAGCCTACCTGCAGAAGCATAGCAGTGGGTGGAGGTGGGGGCCTCTTACAGGAAACGGGACACCTGACTGGACTTCATGTGCATTCGACCACTTAATCCTCACAGAAGCACCACGAGTAGCTCCGTAGGGTTTCCCTGTGTCACTGTACCACGCTCTCCAGAGCTCATTCTGTATGTTGGGCAGGTTTGTTATCCTGGTTTTATAAATGGCAGTCTTTGTGACTTGTGAACATTCTTAATTTCGTTGGAATAAAATTTAAGAGTAAAACCCTAGATCAGTCTTAGTGAACTGTGGCACGTTTGTTATTGTGTTTTTCTTTTAAGGCGAAAGCTGTTCATGTATGAATTGTTTTTCCAAAGCTAATGCCTCAGTTTGGAAGTTTGATTGCAGTATTGGCACTTTGCGATAATTGCGGTTCGGGCACTGCGTCTCTGAAAGGCTTGCCTCACTGCCCTAGATGTTAATACTTGTAGTATTTGCTGTGAAGGTGCTCCCCAAAAGCAGTTTACTTTCTGAGTAGAGACAAACCTTGATTGTTAGCATTCCAATTTAAAGATTCTCTTTGTTCACACGTCTTATTTTCCAGAGAGCTTTAGAATTATTTTTCCAACTCCTTACACAAAAATCTCTTCGTGACTTCACTACAGTTGGAATAAGTCGATAAAATAACTTGCGGACGGTGTAATAACCGGCTGTAATCTGGTTTTCCCAGCCACGGCACTGGTGTCACTCTCTGCTCAAAATTTGCTTCATATTTTCTTAAATTACGTGTTCTTAAAAACATATTTTCCACTAAATTTTGGGTGAGACTGCTGTAGGATTTACTGCTATCATGAATAAATGTTTCCGTACTTTATTTTTGAGTTTATGTTTGCTGATAATGGGATAACTGTTGATTGGGCTTACTCTTCGTACATTCTGCCCCGGTGTGAATTCCTTAGTCGAGTGGTTTTTGTGGGATCTTGCATTTCCTGTGCACACATAAATATGTTCACTAGTGAGCTCACGAATAACGGCGGGGTGTGCTGTTCTGTGCCCAGCGGGTTCTTCATGCCTGGGGGACAGCAGTGAGTGCAGCACAGCCGTTGCCTTTGGGGAACCGAGGCTCTGATTAGGGTATACAGGTTAATGAAGAAATAGTTCCGAAGGCAGTGTGATGAGTATTGTGAGGAAAGAGCAAGGGAAGACTGTGGCGGAGACAGAGTCGTGTTTTCAGGTCTGATCCCCTTAAGGCAGTGGCCTTCGATCAGGGGCTGGGATGAAGTGAAGGGGCAGGCTGTGTGAATGTTGCCAGTGTTCCAGCCGGGGACAGCAGGGAGGGAGGCACCCGGGGTGACTAAGAGCAGCGGCAGGGGCCTCTGCCTAGGGAAGAGCGCACCCATGGTGGGTTCCAGGGCCTACTTTGGGAGGAGAGGCCCGGGCTGGAGTTTCCTGTTTGGCAGCACCTGTGTGCTGCTTAGAGCCACCAGAGGGGAGAGGTCACCTGCAGGGCAAGTAGAGCCCCAGCAGAGGAGAGACCGCAGGACAGCCCTGGGGCTGGGAACAGTTAGTCGTCAGAAGGTGGAACACAGGCCATTTAGGACCAGTAGTCAGGGAGGAAGAGAACCTGAAAGACAAGTAAAAATATGTTAGCAAAGGCACACGTGAGTGACTGACCTTTCAAGCTGAAGGTCCAGCCAGGTGTGGCCTGCAGATTGCCCCTCGGCCTGGGCGCTGTGGGGCGCCTGGTGCGAGAGCCGCGGCAGGGCAGGTGCCGCGTAAACGCTTTCCCGAGTGTGTCTGCTGTGGAACAGGAGGTGGCGAAGCGGAGGGGACAGTGACGGCCAACTCCATCGGAAGGGCCGCAGGGACATGGGCGACCGGGACGCGGGGGAAGCGTCGCATCTGTGAGCGGTAATGCTGCTCTCTCCTGAGCGTGAGCCCTGTCACTTCTCTTGTGCTCACAGCAGTCAGATATATAACTTAAATATTTTTGTAGAGACCGATCTGCCTTTTGTTTTTTTATTGGGGGAATACTATTAGTCTTTTATGGATAAGTGTTACTAGTAACTGGTTGGAAATAGAGTCTCTATCATACTGAGACAGAAGTTCCCTTTCTCCTGTGGTTAAAGATTTTTAATGGGAAGTACTTGTTGAGTTTTTTTAACAAGTATATTTTTGGATACCCGTGAGATCTTAGAGTTTGCTATACATTTGTCTGAAAGCTATGTGATCAATTATTAGTAATGTGCTAGTGTTAGAACAGTTATTTATTCCTGAGATAGACTTTACTGGGCTATGAGGAATTCTTTTATTGGATTAATTACATTTCTTCATAGTCTATCATTTTCACATTATTCAGGCTAAGTGAGCAAATAGAGTTGAGATGACACACGTCAGCCTTTTCTCCTCTGCCTGAAACAGTGGCCCCTTTCAACATAGAACGCTTCAGCGGAGACTGTTCCCGTGGTTGGGCTGTGTTCTGAAGAAGTGTCTCAGGTGCGTCTTAGCTGCAGCTCCTTCTCAGCCCTGGAGGAGCTCCGCGTGGTCTGACCACACGTAGTCAGGGTGTGGGGCCGAGTGTGTCTCCAGGGGCTGGAAGCTGGCTCAGGCCTCTTCCAGGGCTTCCTCCCCACCGAGTATGTGACCGCCCCTGGATGCCCTCTTCTGAAGCTGTAATAACGCTGCCAGCCTCAGCTGCTTCTCGCGTGCCTGTCTCCTCTCTCAGAACTCCAGAGACACTCAGAGAAAGAGGAGATTAGTCTTTGTTAACTGAAGCTCTTGAACGGACTGAGAACGACAGAAATGTCACCATTGTTCCAGTTATTTACGCTTAGCAATACCTTCTGTGCCCAAACGTCCGGTACTTGCTTTTCCTTTTTCCCACTTTGCATTTTTTAACTTGAAATTTAAAACGTCATCGCCACCATCAGGCATTTGTATGTGTACATGTTTTCATGTAGTTTAGCTCGGCGTTTTTGGGCTGCTCTTTTTTCCTGTACCCCAAAACTTAATTGATTGCCGTGCCTGGGGCCTGCAGCGGGTTTGTGACCTCTCTTGTGCTCATTTTCTTTATCTGCAGAATAATTGTGATCCTTCTGCCAGGTGTGCCTGTAACACACACCGTAATCACAGGCTGGCCTATGAGCTTGAGGCCAGCCTGAACTACATAGTGAGACCCTATCTCAATTTTTTAAAAATTGTGATTTTTTTTATTTTCCCCTGTGTTGCCTAGCTTCATATTTAATTTCCAAGTAGCTACAGTCATGTTACAGACTCCGTTGAAGTGCTGCATCCTTCCCTGGCCAGCGCTCCACCCACGGATTCCATATATCAAAGCCTTAGTCCTCACGGCTCTCTGTGGAGGTGGGAGCCCTCTTAAAGTATCGAGGGTTAGGGCTGCAAAGGTGGGCCCTGTCCCGGGGTAGTTACCATCTTTGTGTGTTTATATTCACTGAGTGGTATGAGCACCCACGCAGTCTTCAGTGCTAAATGGATAAAACAGTGAGGAACCTTGGGGATTTATAAAGGAGCAGTTTTACATGGAGCTCTTCAAGGAGATTTTAGGCCGATAGTACCAAGAGTTTAAAATGTAGCCTTGTAACACTACAAAACATCTTCTCAAGACACTTAATATTGTCATAAACCTGGCATGGTGGTGCACACCTATAATCAAAACACCAGGAGGCTGAGGCAGGAGGATTGCCGTGAGTTCAAGGCCAGCCTAGGCTGCATAAGCAAGTTCAAGACCAGCCTGAACTGCATAGCAAGACCTTGTCTCAAAACAACAAAAAAATATTCTTGTCATAGAGGCAAAAATACATGGCATTGTTTTCATATGGATTGATAGCATTTTGCCACAAAAATAATGTAAGATTTATTTAAACATGGTTATAGACGATGCTGAAACAATGGGGCCAGGGATGTGGCTCAGTGGTAGAGTTCTTGCCTTGTATGTACAAGGCCCTGGGTTTGATCCCCAGTACTGACAAAAAAAAAGAATGCTGAAATAGTATAAAATATTTCTTATTCAAATGACTACTTGTGGTTAAGCCTTATACACATAGTTAATATTTGTGAGCCAGAAATACCGCTGTCCTGGTTTTTTTCTATTATTTTGTTTGTGCTTTTTTGAGACAGGGTTCAAAAGATTGAAGGCTACAGATTCAAACTTGCTCTGTAGCCCAGGCTGACTGCCAGCTCGGTCCTTCACCTAAGCCTCCCGAGTGCTGGAAGTACAGATGCGCACTGCACCACGCCTGGCTTTATACTGTATTTTGTACTGTGATTTTCTGATTCTAAATTTTGTTACAAGTAAAGAATATTAATATATGTGTGTGTGTATATATTAAATATTCAGATATCTACTATAGACGTTAACATACTGGGCTTTTTATATTTTACTGTTACATAGGATGAATGTGGTTCAGCCTGTTAACATCTGATTTTGAGAATGTTCTAGAAGTAAAAACTGAAAATTATGCTTATTTTCTAGGTTGTCCTTTGTGGAGGGTCTTCGAGAATCCCGAAGCTGCAGCAGCTGATTAGAGATCTGTTCCCGGCTGTTGAGCTGCTCAGCTCCATCCCTCCTGATGAGGTTGTCCCTATCGGTGCCGCCACTGAGGCAGGAATCCTTATTGGAAAGGAGAGTGAGCTGGTGGAGGATTCCCTAATGATAGAGTGTTCAGCTAGAGATATTTTAGTTAAGGTATGTTTAGCTTTTCTATCCTTCCCCATAAAAATGATACAAATTAATTGCCACAGTGACTTTACAGTAAAACTTAGTATATTGGTAAAGATTTTAAATTTATTTTTTTTTGTGGGGGGTTGTTTCCCGTACCGGGAATCAAACTCACAACCCCGTGCTTGCCAGGCAGGCGCTGTGCCACTGAGCTAAATCCCCAGCCCAAGATTTTAAATTTAGCTTTATAATTTTATTTTTATGAGTTTCTTTGTAATATAACAACCATTAATTACTATCATCTTGTTTTGAAATTCTGTATCTTTTTTGTTTTTGTGTTATTTTGTTTTGTCTTCATTGTTATTTTGTTCTTTTTTAATCTTTAAAATGAAAAATGAGTTTCTTAAAGTTTTAGTTAATATGTAGTTAATATTTATCTGATACGTTAATTTTTAGGCAAATGTAATAATCATAAGCTTCTAATACAGATAAAGGCACATTTCAATATAATTTTATTTTTTTTTTTGTTTGTTTGTTTGTTTTGTTTTGTTTTTCTCCGGTACCGGGAACCGAACTCACGACCTTGCGCTTGCCAGGCAGGCGCTTTGCCGCTGAGCTAAATCCCCAGCCCCTCAATATAATTTTAAATAAAATGGGGGTAGAATTAAGTATTTATTTTTTTCTCTTTGCCTAGTTTCCAGATCAACAAGAAATACACATTTCATGTTTGATAAGTTTTTGTTGTTGTAAAGATAACTGTCAGAGAACACGCCTCTTCTCTCCTGACTGTAGGGAGTGGATGAGTCAGGAGCCAGCAAGCTCACCGTGCTGTTTCCGTCCGGGACCCCTTTGCCGGCCCGAAGACAGCACACTTTACAGGCCCCTGGCAGTGTATCTTCCGTGTGCCTTGAGCTCTACGAATCTGAGGGGAAGAACTCTGCAAAAGAAGAAACCAAGTTTGCACAGGTAAGTACATAAAAGTTAGCCTGTGACTTAGTGACGTGCAGATGTGTAGCTTTTCCTTTTCAGTTAGATTCAGTTTAATATCTCATTTAACACAGAATGTACATAGGACATCTAATTTGGGTCTGTGCGTGTGGCACTAGGGATTGAACCTGGGGCCTTCTCACGGAGCTACATCCCTTTATTCATTAATTTTCATTTTGAGACCAGGTCTCACTGAGTTACTAAGTTGCCCAGGTGGAGCTTGAACTTGTGATCTTCCTGCCTCAGCCTCTGAGACTGCCAGGATCACAAGCATGTGCCACCACTCCCAGCTGACACCTAACATGTTTATGAATGAATTACTGCTGCTTGCTGAAATAGAGAAGAAATGCTTGATTTTTAATTTGGAAGTTATGAGGAAAACTTTTTTAAATACAATTTGTATTTGTAATGGTTCTTGTTTATGCGCCAGGCGTACTTTGATCACATAGACGGAAAGGGAAAGTGACATTTTGCAAAATGCCAGGTGCTCTCCTAGGTAATTTACATGCCCTCTCTCAGAACGGTAGCTGATAAGGCATCGTGCACCCGTTACAGGTGATTAGGAAGCGGCCTGTGAGGGCCGGAGGTGGGCCTCACCTGTGGAGCGCCGGCCCGCCGTGCTTGAGGGAAGTGGCTTGTGACAGTCACGCTTGGTATTTTCTGCTCCTGAGCCTGTGCTCTTCCTGTTGGACCGTGCTTCCTCTGAGTAAGATGACTTTCTCACAGCAGCACTGTCTACAGCCGTGAGGTAGAGCTGTAGCAGCTGCTCCGAAACACGGCCAAGAAATGCAGCCGCATTGCAGCTGGCACGCGGGACTGCTGTTCAGCGTATAATGTCGTGTGTAAATTGGAGCGTGAGTGCGTGTGAGCGGGTGTTGTGTGATTTACTTTCTGATACCAACAAAACAAAACAATAATGAAAAGATACACGTGTGGGCTCACAGCTCAGCCTTCCCAACTTGGCAGCTGCCGGGGCCGTGCTCAGTCCTGCAGCTGACTCGGTGGTGTATGTGCACGCACTTGCCAGACCCACATGCGCTCGGCCTTCCCGCAGCCGCCCTCTCCTGCTCGCTCGGTGCCTCTCTCTACCTCCCGACTCCACGGCCGCGCTGCGCCGCTGTGTCCTAACTCGAGGTCGCCGGGAGCTGGGGGGAACGCGCCCTGCTCCTGTGTCTTCCAGCCTCGTTTACAATGAGGAAAACAAGGAGTGGCTTACCTCAGGAACCAGCCTGGTCATGGCAAGGTGAAAAGTCACTGCCGGACTCCGAATTCGGTTTGCTGGTTTACCTTTCTTTGCCAGAATACGATTTACAAGTCAGTGATAATGGCTTCATCACCGAAAAGAAAAATAGTATTTATTTTCTGAGGTAAATAGTCCTTACTGGAAAGTTATTTTAATCTAGGACATGACATGAAAGAGAGACAAATATATTAGTTTTCTTATGTGCGCTTCACCTGGAGGGTACATTTCCACTTGACACCCTAACTCCTGCCCTCTGAATTCTGTCTAGATGTAGGACTTTCACAATAACCGATGCCTCAGATTATTAATATGTCAAAGTACTGAATCGTCTTTGTATTGTTTTTGCGCAAACAGGTTGTACTCCAGGATTTAGATAAAAAAGAAAACGGGTTACGTGATATATTAGCTGTTCTCACTATGAAAAGGTACGAAAATGAATCTGCTTTTAATACGAAGAAAAGTCACTTTAAAACTTGACCCATTTTTGAGTTTATGTTTTACCCATTTTCATTCTAGACAATTTACTTATTAAAAACAAAGATTTTAGGGCTGGGGATTTAGCTCAGTGGCACAGTGCCTCCCCAGCAAGCACAAGGTCGTGAGTCCGATTCCCGGGACCAGAAAAAATAAAATAAAATAAAATAAAATAAATTTTATTAGTCACCATTAGTGATAATGGCTTAATCATCAAAAAGAAAAATAGTATTTATTTTTGGAGGTAAATAGTACTTTACCCTGTGAATAGTTTTCACTCTGTAAGTAGTTTTCACCCTGAAAACTTAATTTTATGAGAAAGAATGGATCATTTAGATTGATTATTTTACAAACTCTTCATTTTGCATATAGTCACCTAAAAAGCTGGTCTGTGCTAATTTGAGATGTAGTTTTTATCAATTTTCAGCATAATTTTCTAAGGTTTATATCACTGATATTTGTCCTATGAAAGGATATTTCATTATTGCTGCAGAAAAACTCTTTTAAGAGATAAGTAATTAAGTTCAGCTGTTACCATTTCTCTTATAGGTCATCCATACCTCTGGGTATTATAAGTAAATCCTTTCCTTTTTTTTGTCTTTTTGAGACAGGGGCTATGCAGTTCAGGCTGGCCTTGGGCTCACTTTGTAGCCCAGGCTGGTCTCAAACTCAAAACGATCCTCCTGACTCAGCCTCCCGAGTGCTGGGGATTACGGGTGTGCCCCACCATGCCTTGCTGATCCTTTCCAAATTAACATTAGGGACACCTTATTCCATAAGTGATATTTAGCAAGAATATTCAGTTCACCAAAGCTGGTTTAACCCACTTTGACCTGAGTTTGAAAGTGATATGATTTATCTTGAGCTTGTATGTAAAGTCTTAAGATGTTTGTCATCCTGGATTGCCAAAAAAAAACCTATTGTTTCAGTGATGTAGGGGGAGATTTCTAAGGACATCCTAATATATAACATATTCTGAATTTAAGGACACTAATACTGTGTTTATCATACCTTGAGATTTTTCTTTCAAAAATTGAAATTTGCTCTTGCTTATTCAATGTCCTGCAGTAACTTCTTAATGACTTCCTGTTTTTACAGAATGAGTTACGAGATGTTATTTATTTTTTGTTTAGGGATGGATCTTTACATGTGACGTGCACAGATAAAGAGACTGGGAAATGTGAAGCAATTACTATTGAGGTTGCATCTTAATGTTTTAGATGAACCAGGAATCCTAGAACTAGAGCATCAGCATATTTGTTTTATGTATAAGTGATGTTTATACTAAGATACTTTTTCAGTGAACTGTGTAAGCTGTGTTTCAATTAAAGTACAATATATTGGTAAGCGTTGCAGTGTTTTTTGTTTTGTTTTTCATGTAAAATTCACCCACTAGTGGAAAATAACATTTTTGGTCATGAAGCTGTTAAGGATTGAGTTGACTGAGGCAAATTATACATGGTGTTTCTAAAATTTGTATACTTCTACAATTTTTAACAATCCTCAGACTCTGGGACTCTGAGGAGGATCACAAGTTTGAACCCAGCCTAGGCAACTTAGTGACTGTGCAAGACCTTGTCTCAAAATTTTAAAATATCTAAAAAGGGCTGGGGCCGGGTGTGGTGGCGCACGCCTGCAATCCCAGCACTGGAGAGGCTGAGGCAGGAGGATTGTTGTGAGTTCGAGACCAGCCTGGGCTACAAAGTGAGCTCAAGGCCAGCCTGAACTGCACAGCAAGACCCTGTCTCAAAAAGACAAAAAAAAAAAAAAAAAAACGGTGCTGGGGCTGGGAATAGATCCATATGGAGGCCCTGACTTCAGTGCTCAATACACTACCTACGTACCTGAACATACATACGTTTTTACCAGCAAAGGTTTATGTCAAATTAGAGTGTTGGCTATTTACATGAATGAGCTTATCCAAATGGAATCTGCAAGAAATACCTAAATTCGATGTGAAAGCCTTGGGAAGTGGCTTGATTAGAGCCAGTATGGGTGGCTTATAAACAGCAAGTAGTTCCTCCTCACGGTCTAGTCTGGAGGTCTGAGATGATGGTGCTGGCGTGGTTGCGCTGGAAGGCACCCTTCGGAGTTGCACACTGCTGGATCATGAAGCACAAAGGGCACATGCTTGTGGAGGCCACTTTTGGGAGGGCGCTGACCTCATTTGTGAGGGCATCCTGACAGGCTGGTCACATACACATTGGGGGCTGGTTGGATTTCAGTGTGTGAATGGGGTGGGGTCAGACATTCAGTCCAGTCTATACCAGGAAGCCATAAAATAAACATTTCATTACAAACAGCTTTTGCATGTGTAGTAATTCTTTCTCTTGCAGTATTGAGAAGTGACGCTATGGCCTTCGAATTGTGCTGCATCTCTAGCCAGTTTATTTTTTACTTTGAGACAGGGTCTCACTAAGTTGCCTGGGCTGAGCTCAAATGCAGTTCTCTTGCCTCCACTGCCCAGAGTCCTGAGATTTTAGGTGTGTGCCCCCCCTACCAGACAAAAATTATTAAAGATGAAAAAGCAATTATTAGAGCACAAAATAAGTTCATAGGAAAATGTAAGGAAATTAGTAACCGTTGTAACACTTATACACAGTGCTACTGTTTGTTTGCGTTCACTTTCTCATTTTAAGGTTTCGATCTTCATCAGGCGTAGTGGTGCACACTTGTAATCCTGCTTACTGGAGAGGCTGAGGTAGCCAGACTGCCAAGTTCAAGGCCAGCCTGGGCAGTTTAACAAGACTGGCAAAAAATAAAAGGAACTGAGGGTGTAGCTCAGTAGTAGAGAGCTTGCGTAGCTTACTTGACGCCTGAGTTCAATCTCCAGTACCATTAAAAAAAGTTTTTCCCCCACATTTGCACAAAGGGTTGTAATATACAGAGTGTAACATACATTGTTTTCTAGATGTGAAATTGTCTTCAAGTTTAATTATCCAATATCTCACAGTAAATACATGGTGAATTTTGAACTAATAATCACATACCTAATTTTAAACTGTTCTTGAGGGCTCAGTCTTCCAAGCACGTGACGTGCTTTATTTCATTTAATGCCTACTTTTTAAAATCTAGTGCTTGTACTGTTCTCTGCCGTTCAAAAACCATTCATAAGTGTAGAAGAGGAGACATTCCGTGGGTTCCCAGAAATCAGGTTTTCAGTGGTTTTACAGAAGAAATTGGGAAGACTGCATAATTTGCGTATTTCCCTAGGCACTGGTACATATCTCTCTGGCCAATGGATTTCGTTCTCCATCCATGGAGATCCCATGCACTCAGGATTCAAGACACTCCAATGTTTTAGGCTCAGGACCCTTTACACTTAAAAATTGCTGAGGCCAGGCATTGTGGTGCTTGCCCAGAGGTCTAACTGTGTGGGAGGCTGAGACAGGAGGCTTGCTTGATCCCGAGTTCCGGGACAGCCGAAGGGGTGAATTTGCGGGTGAGGTTGCCAGAAGCACGCAGCCCAACGGCAAGCAGCATCGTTACCGTCCGGCTCCTATACATTACCCATTATCATTCACATGCTTGTGCACTGTGATTGCTGTGTGGCACATGCACAGCTGCCTGGCTACGCCATGGTTGCCTGAGTGTATCCGCTCTGTGCCTGAGCCAGACAGCGTGGTGGGATCCTCAGGTGTCCTCAGAGGCCCCTAGTTTTGAAGCCGTCCTGAAGCAGCACCCCACACAGCCATGGCAGCGTGGTCTCAGTGCCCCTTCTCCCTTCTCCTGTCCTCAGCATTGAGGGCGGGATCCAGGGCCTTCACACTGAACTTCATCCTCAGCCCTTTATTTTTCATTTTGGGGTAAGGTCTTGCTAAGTTACCCAGGCTGGGCCAGAAGTACAGTCCCCCTGCCTCAGCCTCCCAGAGAGCTGAGATTACACCTAGCTCCTCTTTCTGTTTTCAGGTCCCTGGGGTAGATCAGGGGTAGAGCAGTAGTGGAGATGAAATAATCTGGGCTTTGTTAGGACTTCACTCGAGAAAGTGGCCTGGGCTTCGGTGGTGACGGCAGCAGGATGGGGTGTGTACCCTGGAGACAGCACCGAGGACTTGCTGCTGGAGCTGTGCTTGGGAGTTTGCAGTTACGGCGCTGTGAAAGCAGTGTACTTCCAGGAGAAATCATACTCTGCGTTTGGGACGTTGGCCTTTTCTGAGGCTCGGGACATGTGTATGACACTTAAGATTCTGGGCAGCATCGGGGCGCAGCTCCCAATAAGCCAGAAGTTGCTGAGGGTAAACACCAGGGCTGAGGATACTCGCTAAGCGACCAAGTTCAGCAGTTTGATAAGTGCCCCCTCCCTTTCTGTGACAGGGTCTCACTTTACTTCGGTCCAGGCGGGCCTCAAACTCGCTGTATAGCCCTGCAGTGATCTCGCTTGGTGATCCTCCTGCCTGAGCCTCCTGAGTGATGCTCTTTTTGTAGTGCTAGGGATTGAACCCAGTACTTCAAACGTGCTAAGCAAGCATCCTACCGCTACTACACTCCCAGCCCCTAAAAGTTTTTATTTAGCATATTTTCAATTTACGATGGGTCTGTTGAGATACGATCCCACTGTAAGTCAAGGAGCATCTCTTATTTGGAGATGGATAGCACCGATCTTGCCTTCTACACCTGAGTAAGCAGTAGTGCCGATACACTTGAGATGACAAGTCTTCCAGGTCTGCAGGAGAGGGAGTGAACTCTGGGGGCGTAAGTGAAGGGCACCGTTGGAAGTGTTTCTGTGACACCGAGGAGATACATTCACGAGGCACTTGTGCATGTTTGTATTGGTCAGCTCCCCACTGCTGCAGAAAAACACCTGAAGCCCACAACTTAAGCCCACAGTTTTGGAGGGTTCAGTCTATGGTGACCTGGCTCTAAGGGAGAAATGCCAAGGTAGAAAGGCGGGCGGAGGAAATTTCCTGAACCCCTAGCAGGCAGGAAGCGCAGAGAGAACTATAACCTCTGCGGACACCCCACTTCCCCCAACTAGGCGAATTCCTAACACCACAGTTCAGCTGCAAATTCACCAGTGATGAGCAGAGCACCCCCATGATCCAGCCACCTTGCAGAACCCCCACTCCTGGACACATGAGGCTTTGGGGACCGTTCTAGATCTAACCATAACAACATTTAATCTGGAATCTAGGGGAGAGGTCAGGGCTGGAGGCAAAGTGTTTTGAATCTTAATCATACAGTATTTTGATCCAAAGGAACGGAAGTCACATGCGGAGTGAGCGTAAGAGGAATTGGTCCCGGGGAGGAGAGTCTAGGAGCCCTTTTGCGAAGGTGCCCTGCATGTGACAAGATGGAGCAACCGGCTGTCCTGGCCCCTTCTTAAGGTAACAGGCGCTCGTTACAGAAAATGGCTAAGTATGTAAAGTTGGGAAGTCAAGAAAATCATTGCCGTTTTCTATTTCATTGTCTTCCTCTACATACTTTTGTACAAAGCTAAAAGTGTCTTTTGCTTCACATATTAAACTCTCCCCCATGATACCAAAGACTCCCCAAGCACCTTTTCAGATGGCTAGCCAGCATTTCATGATAGAGTCAACTAAGGTTTTCATGTTCCACCTTTCCAGTATCTCAAACTTAATACAGCATGCTCTGAAACATAATTTCCACATAAATCTTTTAAAACTCCTTGGTGTTAAGATGGTGGTCTACAGGTTTTCGTGATTTCCTCTTCTACGATTTCTGCTTTAGACGGCTAGAATAATCTCGGCGAGGCGAGGCAGAGGCCCCTGGAGTCCTGCAGCCTTGCCGCCCAGCAGCCTGGGCTGGCTCAGACCCTCCAAACCGAATCTGCCTTACAGTCAGCCTCCCCAGGCGGGTCTTGCTGAGACGCACTGAGGGAGACCTGTGTTTGAAACTACCTCGCATTATCATCAGCTGGGTGGGTTTTTTTGTTTGTTTGTTTTGTTTTTTTTTGTCTTTTTGAGACAGGGCCTCGCTACGCAGTTCAGGCTGGCCGGAAGCTCACTTTGTAGCCCAGGCTGGTCTCGAACTCGAGACGATCCTCCTGCCTCAGCCTCCAGAGTGCTGGGATTACAGGCGTGCGCCGCATACCCGGCAGCTGGGTGCTTTCAAACCAGTGCCCACTGCCCCGGCCATACACCATCCCAGCTCATCACCATTTCTGTGCGGGCCACACAAAAGCCCGGGTGACCCCAGCGTGCACCGCCGCCCCAGCAAAGCGGTGCCGGACTGGTTCCGCTCCGAAGAACCCTTCGCCGCCAGGGCGCTGCTCCTCCCCTTTGCGGTTCCAACCTGGCCGTGGAGGGCGAGGCCGCGCTGGGCCACGCCCACCCGTGGCCACGCCCCTCCCGAGCAAGGCTTGGGGCGCAGGCGCG